GCCGACCACAGCCCAGGCGCCCCCGCCGACCACAGCCCAGGCTGGCCCGCCGACCACAGCCCAGGCTGGCCCCGCCGACCACAGCCCAGGCTGGCCCCGCCGACCACCGCCCAGGCTGGCCCGGTCACCTGCGCCTGCATGGTCAGATTCCGCCTTCCACCTCGGCCCAGGGGCCCCACCAGGAACGTGACCTCAGGCTGGGGAAAGGGTTCTGCAGGGACAGGGGGACGGGAAGGCCGGGGTGGCGGCGGGGGAGACGGGAAGGCCGGGGTGGCGGCGGGGGAGACGGGAAGGCCGGGGTGGCGGCGGGGGAGACGGGAAGGCCGGGGTGGCGGCGGGGGAGACGCGGCCGGGGCCTCCCCCGCCCCTGAAGTCGGAAGCTCCTTCCACACCCTCTGTGCACAGTCCTCCCGCCCCGGCCCTCCTGGCGTGGGATGATTGGCGCGTCCCACCCCGCACGGCTCTGCGGACCCTTTCCTGGCGTGTGGCCCGGGCCTCTCACCGGGTGGAACACACACGGAGACGCTCCAACTGCTCCAGGGACCCCCGGGGGCCCCCGACGGGAGCCGCAGCCGCCGCCGGATCTGCAGCTCCTGGGCCAGGCTCTCCGACGGGCAGAGGCAGGACTCTGGGGGGCGGGGTGTGGGGCACACAGGGGCAACTGGGGACGACCACGCTGCGGCTCCGCTGGCCCGGGGCTCTGGCCCCCTGCTCCTCCGCTGGAGCCCTGCCCCCCACCCCCATCCCCCCCACCCCCCTACCCACTCCCCCACCCCCCTACCTACCCCCCAACCCCCACCCCGCCTCTGCCCTGGTCTTTTACACCTCCCTCTGTGGATTACAGAATAGGAATAAACCCACACTGACACAGGGCAGGCTGTGAGCCTGCACACAGCAGGAGATGCATTAATGCTTACCAGAACTGCCGCCATGAGTGTCCTCAATCACACCTGAGCCAGAGCTATCCTGGGGTCCACAGTCACCCTAAAGGAGGAAGAGGCTGGGTGTGTGACTGGTTCTAACCGGCCCAGAGATGAGCTCTGGGGGGGGGGGGGCTTTTCTGTTTGGCTCCGAGCCTGGCTGGCACCGGGCAGCTGCACCTCAGTCCGAGGCCTCCCTCCAGCTCCGCCCGAGTGCCGGGCTGAGTGTGGTGCTGCCAGGCCCAGCTCCCTGACCCATTGCCTGTTTATCCGAGAGGAAAACTGAGGCCTGGGTAGGGTCATGGGGGGGGGCATGGGACTGGAGTGGCTGAGGGGTGGGTGGGGGAGGGACTGAGGGGGAGGAGGAAGGAGAGCGGAACCTGGGGGTAAAAAGGGTGATCGACCTCACGCTGCTCTGGGATGCCAGGCTGAGTGTGAGCGGACTGGGCTAGCCTCGGGCACACCGAGGTGCACACGCAAGAGGCTGGACTGCAGGGACCCGGCAGAGAAAGGCAGAGCTTGTCAAAGAAGCTTGGTGGTGATGGTGTGTGTGTGTGAGTGTGTGTGTGCGTGTGTGTGTGTGTGGAGTGTGTGTGTGTGTGTGTGTGTGTGGAGTGTGTGTGTG